ATTCGGGTACATTGAATTTTTTTTCAATATCTTGAACTTGTACATAGAATACGAAACTTTAAGGCATAAGGTATTTTGAAATCTTAGACTCACTCAAATTAAGTAAGTGTTAAACTTCAACATTTAATGGATTTTATTGTAAGGCTGTTTGTTTAAAACTGATTGTCATGTCGTTAATTGCTGTTGTTGATGCTAAAAACTGAAATAAATACTTTGACTATATGTTTTAGTATTACTTCTACGTGAAGTCAACGATTTACATAGTTGAAGATGCTAATTTCAAATAACAGACTGTAGTGGTAATTTTTATACGATAGATGGAGTAGATGAAAGCATAGAGTTGATAGTTCCGTTAGAGTACGGCAGTGTGAAGATTGCATATAGATATTAGAATAGAGAGCTAGGACAACTTTTAAGGAAGGTACAAATCGGTTTTTTCATATCTCTTTACCAAACTTCCCCTTTGGAGAGGGATGGTGAGGGGTGTCCCCCCCCTGCCACCATTGGCAAAAAGAGATGAAAACCGACCGCTCAAGTACCAATGGTCGAAAGGTACAGTAGCAGCACCTACCCCACCCGTGTCCCCTCGAGATCGACAAGTCGACGATGACAGGAGCACATATCGTAACAGGCACATATCGATATCATAACAGGTGACAGCTGTTTGTTTATAAGAAAGGAACATAACGAAATCGCAACCAACAATACAAAAAGGCGAACAAGCTTGTGTGATCAAATGTTAAATGCGAACCGAAGCTCGCCTTGCCAAACCAATAACACAATCAGGTAGGGAAGAATCTCCCCTATTCGATAGTGGTGTTCGATTTGTTAGGTGAGCTTCGGCTTGCGAGATAAGGTCATTACAATTTTGTTAATTTGCCCTTCTGTATTGGGCGTTCATGTCCTTGGGTACGAAAGTGACTCCGTTGGCTTGGTACCACTCCAGGACAACATTTGAATAGTGACACGAAGCTAGATTCGGGCAGAAGATCGTAGGGCCCTCGTGTTGCTTCAACAGAGGAAGCAGACGCTTCTGTAGACACTCCTTGAGGTAGATCTCTTCGTTTACAGTCCCGGTAGTCACGAACGGCACACTGCGTTTGCCACATGAGCAGATCGCTTGCCAAATCATGTATTTCTTGGCAAACTTTGAAAGTTTCTGCTTCCTTACTTCCTCCGGAACATCAAACTTGCGCTGGGTGGTGAAGAACAGTAGCCCCGGAAGCTACCGGAAGTCCGCCTTGAGGCTTAGGTCAGTATCTGGGTGTACAGTTTCCGGACCCGTGACTTTTCCACCGTATTTTGCCGTTCGTCATGATTTGGAGCCTTCTACACTTTGTACGTATGCAGTCCCTCCCGGTCCTTGGCTCTCTGAACGAAAGACTCGGATAGATTCAACTTTTTGGCCACATCCCTGACCGAAGCATTGGGATTTCACTTAAACGCTTTCACGACACGCTTGTAATCCTGATCACTGATAGAACATCCATTCTGACCGCATTTCTCCTTCCGTTCAATGCTCAGAGTTTCGTAGTAACGTTTAATCACACGACTCACCGTTGACTGCACGATGTCCCGATGAGAGAGTTGAGGATTTTCCAGGTGCTTGCGCAAAATCAATTCGCGACGTTGCTTTTCGGTTGATGCCATTTTTTCCATCTCTCGAAAAACTGACAGCGATACAAATACTGTGTAAACAATACCCTCTAAACTACTTCTACCCAAATTTTCAAGAGAAAATACCCAATGGGTAATTTTCTACAGCGTTTTTTCCGTGATGCAATTTGATGTGGGAGACCCTTTAGAACAAAATGTAGGCATCGATTCGACTATCAGATCCTACACACTGCAAGAAGAATGATCAATCTTGAAATAAATTTTTAGCGTGAAAAGGTGACTTTAGTGACTTGGCCTTAAAAAAAGAAGACGTTTTAGTGACTGGCTTGGAAAATGTGACCAAGTTACTAAAAAGTGAATCACTACCAGTCCTGAAATATGTAAGGCTCTTGTTTCCATTTTCTAAGAATAAATTTGGTTGGCAATAGAGCAATGTTTTTCATTACAATAGCAAAGAAAACATAGGCTTCCGTGGTAAAAATGTTTATGCTAGCCATCAGCAATTCAAAAATAATCATTCCTAGTAGGCACATTCCCTAACATTCACATTTCAGTGAAGGATAGGAATAAAAATAATTCAGATAGAAAAGTTTGAGATTTCATGCTTAAAAACTGAACAATTTAGGGAAATCGGCAGGCTGACAAAATCGGGAGTAGACAAAATAGGGAAAGCACTGTAATGGAAATTATGTACTAATATCAAGGGGTAGGTCATTCCGCACATAAATCTTGGGTCAACATTTTTCGCAGTGTGCCGTAGGTGTGTCGAAAGTTTGCCGGTTGTGCCGATCATAGAGCAAGCTGCAATTTTTTGTAAAATACGAATATTATGGTATATTTGGCAACCCGGTATTTCTGACAGCTTGAATGTTTTGGTTTGGTGAAAATGTCGAATATCGTGCTCGATAAGGATTCCTTCTACCGACGAATAAAACGCCTCTTCGCCAACTGGAAGGAACCAGAGTTTTCCAAGATGATTCGCTGCAGAAAGTGGATTGCATTCTGACGACGGTCGGCGTAGACGAGGAAACCATCTACAGCAAATCCACCTCGCTGCAGACTAAGCAGACTGATACGATTACGGTGCTTTGTGAAAAGTCCATCTTTTTCCTAACTAGCAAGAAGAAAATCGACTGACGAGGCTCGGTAGCTCAGTGGTTACCGTTTCTGCTTACTGAGCAGAAGGTCGTGAGTTCAATTCCAGGCCCGTCCCCTTCCTTGCAGTTTTTCACTTTGCCTTATTTTATACCCACTAGATTTTAATGAAAACAAATTCTTCTTTAATACCGATCGCATCATTTACCACAGTGCGGATCCTGATCTAAAAATAGAAATTTGATGAGTGCGCGCGTGTGTGTGTGTGTGTTTGTGTATTATAATCGCTCTACCAAAAACGATCCCTGCGTGTGCGTGTGCAACCTTTCCCCACATCCAACATCCCAGTGATTTCTCGTGGAAGCGCAGAGGATTTCTCGGTTTCCTTCACAGCGAGTACCACGTCAACACATTCCTTCCCATTCCCTAGTTGACCTGCATTCGGACACGGCCGGCGCTGGTATTGCTAAAATATTAGATCAGCAGTTCTTACACATTGAGCTTGAATGTTAGTCCCAAACATCATCTGTTGGTTCTCTGTGTAATTGCAGCTGATCTGGTAATAACAGAGCAGCAACCGTGGGCGGTCAATCATGCTCATGCTTGCTTTGCTAGCAAGAAGAAAATCGACTTCTTGAAGCAGATCGAGAAGGACGGTGAGGAGGGCATTCCGACGTTGAAACTGTTCGGGATAAGAACGACAAAGACAAGGCCAATTTTGAAAAGCTGCTGGTGGCGAACAAGGGATCCAAGGATGGCAAAACGTTAGGCGTCTTCTCCAAGGACCAACTTCCCTGGTGAATTCTGTGAATCGTGGCGAGCCTTCGTCAAGGACAAGAGCTTCGACACGGTGGACATCAGCATCCCAATCGGGTACATCATGTGCTCCAAGGAGAACACGGAGGTTATCATCATCAAGAAGGCCTGCCTGGTGATGGTAGACGTATTCAACAAGTACCTCAAGGATCACATCATGGAGATTATCGATGTTGATAAGAAAGTAAAACATGCCAAACTGTCGGAGGGTGTCGGGCAGGCTCTGACGGACAAAAGATACGTCTCCGGTGTGGGTACCTACTAATTGGACATGTGCTACCCGGCGATTATCCAGTCAGGTGCCAATTACAGCTTGAAGTTCATTGCATTCAGCTACAAGAACTATCTGCACTTCGGATTGATCATCTGTGTTCTGGGTGCGCGTTACAAGTCCAAACTCACTTGAACAATACCGAACCGGCACAATACACAAATCAAAAAACCATTTATTCCATCTCGTACAAGATGACACATATCCAAAAATAAAACTACTCTTTTACTTAATTCTGATTTATATATAAATCTCACTTCAAATTCACATACTTGGCATCGGTGATTAGGCCACAGATGTTACCCTTCACCGCCATCAAAGCATATCCATCGTTGCCCCATCGTCGTTGGAACAGGAGTTCTTGATTATCCAGTAATCTTCTCCTTTGAGTTTTTCATATATATATTCCACCACTGCATGATTGCTTCTTGCTTCTTGCCCGGTTCGTAGTACACTCTATTTGCGTAGTATCTGAAAGACTTGTGACCGGCATCGATAGCAATCGACAGCCCTCGGAAGCCTACATTTCAAATTTAAATATGAACCGAGAAGCGAATTGCTGGTGGGAGTTTCTCTAGTATATTCAATTAGAGTATGTTTCTGAAATACACAGTGAATGTTGTGAACAACTTCAATTACAGCTGTCTAGCAGTGTTCCCATTTTATGTAATGATCAATCCAATGCCTACGAGATTGTTTCGAAGATATGCCGATGGATTTGCCCAAGCTGTGCCGAATCTACTTTCGGCACACTGTACTGAGTGGCATACCCCTTGACTCATATTTACTGTTTCAGAAGGGGCTGACAGCTCGGCGAAGGAATTTTTTTTTTGTGAAATCAATGTTTGCTAAGACGGTGCTTTGAAAGTCCGGATGAAAGTAAGCGTCCAGTGTCAACTGGGGCTGATTTTTTTCCCGTTATAGTAGACCAGTGTAAAAAGTTGGATTGGTATCCATTAGATTGATGACCGGAAGATCTTTCAATTTGTTTTCCCAAGTAACCAACAATCCCGCTAATTGTCTTTTTTGTAGTGCAAGGCTGACATACGACCCATATAAAGTTCGAACACGCTCTCCTAACCCGTACAGTGCAAAGAGGATTTGCGGAAAAATAGTACCGTTGGGATTTCCCCCCCTCCAACTCTTGAAAGGATACAACACAAGACCTACCAGCTCCACAAGAACCGCTGCAAAGACTTACCGTTATCGAGATTGAATTCCCACCAGGAAGGACGGTCAGACGATTCGTAATCCAATTAATCAATCCATTGATTTTTATTTCCCTCATTCACTACTAGCCCCCATTGTTTATTGTTCTTCTTTGAACTGCTCGTATCTATACACTCACAATGTGCGATTCCGCCATGCAAACTTTGCTTCACCTTAATCACTGCAGAATTCCAATTTGCTTCTTTATAATTGCTATACACCCGGTGCTCTCATCACTCATGCAATTCCAGTATCATATCACTTGCTAGTGCCTTTCCGGAAAGTTGCTGATGTTGCATGACACTCTCTGGACACAATTCGGGCGAATATTACACTTGACAAACTTCCTGTGTTCACATGCAAGAATTGCCGGTTGGAGCTTTCCCATCAGTGTCTGCTCCCGGCACATCCATCAGTTATTTGTTCCGGACAGCCAATAATAATCCTTTCTGGTAATCCCTTCCCTGCACTACGGGGCGTCGGATGGAGTGAGTAATATCCTTTCTCCCTCTCCTTCCTTATCGTGAGACCACGCACGCTTCAAGACAATCCCGGCAAAATTCCACGACCGATCCCGTCGACGGTTGAGCGCAAACTGAAAGTGGCACTGATAACAGCTGCCTTGTGATGCTGCGAATCAACAGATGTTCCCGTGCGCATGTGATGGGCCCCTTGGTTTTCGTGTCTCGTTCCCGGTCTCTGGTTCGGCACCATCGTCTCGGACCACGTGCGAATTCCGGCAAGGTCAGGGAAAGTGAATCCTACGCCCGAACGGCAGGATCAAAACAGAGAAACGACGTCGGGAAAATAAATTATTGCTTTTATCAATGCCATAACAACTATGTGCGGCTGGCGGTGGAGCAAGAGATGGCAATCTCATGGTTATTCACCTGTGGATTTAGCTAGCAGGTTTCTCGGTATCGCAATGAAAATCGATTACCTACTGTTCACCGTTCGGGTTGAACCAATTGCTTTTAATGGTGAATTTATTTGATTGAATTTCGCGTCAGATGATGTAATTACGTTGAAGGGTTCTCTCCATTGATGCTTGTATGAAGGTTTTTCTTCAGAGTATACGGGGAATTCGGTCCAGCTCTCGAGCTCCTGCTTGATGCTTTCATGTTACCTCAGACAAACAGACGTTACGCTTCATTCTGGATCATCGTTCACGCATTTAACGCATTTCCGCGAACTGCTCACCGCAGCGCTGGCATCGGATTGCGTTGGTGTTTCAATATATTCTGTTTAAATTGCTGAGGTCCTGTTTTTTTCTTAGGAACAACGTTTTCAAGAGAAACTTATTCAAAGAGCTACGTCAGTTTGTCGGTACACTTATGATTGAAGTTTGTCAGAGCTCTAAGTCTTCCGTTTCAGCACAATTCGAGGTATGAATTCCGACAAAACTACGCCTCCGTATTTCGGCGCACAACCCGAGCAGGAGAAAATAACTTATGAATCCCTAATTCTGTTACTGATACCAAAATGTGGTGTACATCTCAAGAAATTTGACCTACCGTATGCGTGATAATGTTTGCACTATTGAGCAATGTCAAAATTAAAAAGTTCTCAAAAATTTCGTTTTCGAGTTTTTTTTATTTATTTAAAGGGGGGATGTTGCGAATCCGAACTTTTTGTCAGTGCGAACCTGAACCTGAGCTAGGTTTTAAAAACAAACGAGCAAACTGACGTTTGTCAGAAAACAAGCAGACCCAATCTTGATACCCGATCCAGGTTGGAACTGAATAATAAACGAATTCGCTATATGTTAATCATCGATCGAGTTTCCACTTGCTGCAATTACGGCCTCCACACGCTTCCGGAATGCACGGCAGGTTCTAATAATATAGTCTGGATCAATTTATATCCAGGTACGGGTCAATGTTTGTCTGAGGCTTGCTGTACTCGGGTGGCGTTTAGAACAGGCCTTGGCCTTCATGGCGTGCCATTTTTAGTAATCCAGCGGATTGAGATCTTACTTATAGCGAATTTGTTTATTATTCAGTTCCAACCTGGATCGGGTATCAAGAACGGCTCTGCTTGTTTTCTAACAAACGTCAATTTGATCGTTTGTTTTTTAAACCTACCTCAGGTTCAGGTTCGCACTGACAAAAAGTTCGGTTCCAACCCCGATAATAAACAAATTCACTATTAAAATCATTACTTCTCGATTCCTTTTTCGAAGAGACGTATCAGCTTTTGTAAACAATACATTTGATCGTCAATTTGACGTAACTGGTAGCTCGTCCACGCACACTAACACCCATGGACCCAAATGGTAAGGACCTTGTTCGAATTTGCGACTAACACTACGCGGTGAAACTGGGGGGTTTGAAAACGGTCACTTGACTTTTTATTGCTCGCCTGTTATTTTGTAAGAATAACACGGTAGATGCGTTCGATTTGAAGCTATATTTTTGACTGACTGTATTGATTTCTGGCTATCTTATATATCTATACGATTAGTATCAGAGAGAGTGTGTAGAGAACCGAAGGAACACGATTTCAATAGGCCTTTTGGCTCATCTAAGATCCCTACTATAACTGATAAGGTTGATAAGCAACGAAAGTGTTGCATGGGAGAAAAAGAGAAAAATCTATTCTACCTGAATAATTTCAATAGGGTTCACTATCCAACTAATTCTTCAACAGACCTCCTTCACGCGATTTTTTTTTGGTTCACCTAGCTGTTTTTTTTAGTGTACCTGGTGCACCCGGTACTAGAGCAAAAGACAGCAATTTGTACCAGAACAGGTGTTAAAAGTGACACAGACAGCACAACTGCCAGCAAAAGCGCCAGCAAAAAAAAAGCGCGGTACCCGCTGCCGTGGCAGTCAGATTGGGGTGTGTCATATCCCTTAGCACGTTTCTTTTTGTTTCGCCATTTTGAGATTTGAACTCGTGACTTTGGCGTGAGAGGCATGGATGCTAACAAAAAAAAAAAAGCGGAACTAGTTAAAATAGTTAATTATCTAATCTAATAGTTCATTAGCTCCAGGTCCCTTGAACATCATATATTTGGATTGTCTCCAGGAGGATTGTCCGCAGGAGGATTGTTCGAAGAACGATTGTATCCAGGAAGATTGATCGAATAATGATTGTCCGCAGGAAGATTGTTCAAAGGAGGATTGTCCACAGGAAGTTTGCTCGGGAGAAGGTTGTTCGAAGGATTGTACGAAGGAGAATTGTCCGCAAGAAGATTGTTTGGGAGAAGATTGTACGAAGGAGAATTGTCCGCAGGAAGATTGTTCGGAGGAGGATTGTTCGAAGGAGGATTATCAGCAGGATTGTCCGCAGGAATATTGTCCGCTACCGACGAGTCGAGGAGAAAGATTATCCGGAGGAAGAGGATTGGCCGCAGGAGGATTGTTCGGAAGAGGATTGTTCGAAGAAGGATTGTCCGCAGGAGAATTGTCCGCAGGAAGATTGTTCAGAAGAAGATTGTCCACAGGACGATTGTCCGCAGGTAGATAGTTCGGAAGAGGATTGTCCGTAGCAGGATTGTCCACAGGAAGATTGTTCGAAAGAGGGTTGTCCGCAGAAGGATTGTTCGAAAGAGGATTGTCCGCACGAAGATTATTTGGAGGAAGAGAATTGTCGACAGGAAGATTGTTTGGAGGAGAATTGTCCACAGGAGGATTGTTCGAAGGAGAATTGTCCTCTGGAAGATTGTTCAGAAGAAGATTGTCCACAGGACGATTGTCCGCAGGAAGATAGTTCGGAAGAGGATTGTCCGCAGGAGGATTGTCCACAGGAAGATTGTTCGAAAGAGGGTTGTCCGCAGAAGGATTGTTCGAAAGAGGATTGTCCGCACGAAGATTATTTGGAGGAAGAGAATTGTCCGCAGCAGTGATGGAAAAGTTCATCAAAGTTCCCTATGACTCGCGAACTTTTCCCTTGGTGAACTTTGTTACCGTTGCGACGTAATATCCCAACTTGCTTGCCGAATAAAAAACTATTCGTATTAAAATTTCAATTATTAATTGTTAAATGTCTAATTTTTATGTGTATATGTCTAAAAATAAATATGATAGTTAATATAAACTTCTTGTTAGGAATATACAAGTTACCTGCACACTCTACAAGTTAAAATGTTATATATATACATGCATAATAAAAGCAAGAACAAAGTTTGTTAAAATACACATTCAGTACACACAACAACACGTTAAAATTGCTGCAGGGGACGGTTATTGGATTGTCGCGGGTGGATATAGGACGAATAAAAAGGAAGGAACAGAAAAAGGAGAAGAAGAAATGAAGGGCTAGCTACTGGGACTGGAGCAACAATCGAGGCTTTTTCCAAAGTACCACGGAAGTGAACGGATCATCGTGCAACATTAAGTAGACGAAGCTAGAACCTCGTGAGCGATTGTGGCCGTTTTTCCCCAGACACCCACGGAACCAAAGGGGTTAGTCTGTACCGCGCGTATACTGAAGTTTATCGGCTTGTGTTTTGTCGCCAATCAGGACGCGAAGACCCACGCTAGCTCCCAGTGTTACCCCCTTGTGGACCAAATCTCGGCAATCCAAGCCGGCCCTCGAGTTTTGAGGTTAAACCGACGACGCTCATCCCGACATCGCGTGCTGTTTCCCTGTGTGAGCCACGCCCGACGGGAACCCTGGCCGTAGCCCGAACCACGGTCAATCATACAGACTGGTTCCCTGAGCGCACCCAACCAGACGACGGCGCCCAGTATCATCACGGTCCCCCCCGACCACTCGCCCGCGACCACGTGTCCCCTCAGCAGCCGGCCGGCCAACCATTACACACCCAACCCACTGTAAGTGTTAGTTAAGAAATAAAAAGGATTAAAGTGAATTTGTGTGTCGTTTCATCTATGAAAGATTGGACTCTTGGATAGCGATCCCATGACAAAAGCCGACCCTGAGAGTGAGAGGCCTCAAGCTCGAGCTAGCCAGTAAAAAGAGGCGGATGTAGCCCACCCCAGACGACCTCCGTGGCTAGACCAGAGGTTAGGGGAACCTTTAGACTAGCCCTTCTGGCTAGGCAGTAACAACTTCATGAAATATCGC